TTTTGTTCGGTAAAAACCTAATCTAATTCATGAAGTCAGTAAAGAAAAACAATTAAAGATGATAGAAGAAGGAAATCCAGATCCAATTCGTGAAGAACAATGAAGAAGAATGAACACATACATGGAAGATTGAGATGCAAGCAAGGAGAAAGAGTCATGGTGCAGTGGAGAGAACAACTGAGAGAATTCTGATCGATTTGATTGAATCTGAACTTGAAAACTTCGACTATATGTTATTACATTAAGTTAATTTACTATATACTTCAACTAATGTACAATTACAACTTACAAGGCCCATAACCGGACCTAATCCAATAAGATGTTGAAGAGTCGCACTGCCTTCGTTTCAGTGCAGTACCGCACGATTCGAAGCTTGCAGTTTTCTCCATTATTCTTCAAATGAAACGATTCTGGTATCATTAGAAAGCTTGTTAAGTTATCTTTCAAACGCCACCGTTTTGACTAATTTTGGCGGTCTATCGAATTTATGATAATTATTTTACTGAGACATGCCCGGTGGACCGACTCTGTGCGCGTAACCTCCCTTACATAATTTATATAAAATTCAATTTAGCTCCGAATTGAGTGTTTCTTGATCCGCTGGAAAGATGAATTTGTCTAGCTTTCAATGCTTCAAGAATCATGATTTTAAAATCTCTGTAGAAAAAATAATAAATAAAACAGTAAACTAATATCAGTACCCGTGTACAATAAAATACTGCTAATTTATTGTTTTTATGCAGAATTTTATATTACGGCTTCTAAAGGCCTAGTAATACAAATTATAGTTAATTAAGCTTTATTAACATATTATAAACAATAATATAACATTATAAACTACTTAAGATGTGCTGAAAATCAGTCACATCAGAAATCTCTCTCTAATAACTTTGAAATGAAAAATATGGGTGAAACATGTTGTGTGATAGAAATAGAAATATTTCGTGACAGATCACAAGGACTGTTAGACTTGTTTCAAAAATCATACATAAATAAAGTTTTAGAGAGATTCTGAATGGATAAATGTTCAACATCTCTCATTCCAATATAGAAATGAGACAAATTTAGTCTTATATAATGTCCAAAGAATGATTTGGAACTGAAATGGATAGAAAAAAGATGGTATTGACTATAAGGAAACATTTTTGTTTGTTTCTAAAAAATATTTTTTAGAATTATTATGACATTAATACCTCATTATGATATTGAGTTGTATCAAATGGATGTTAAAATCATCTTTCTGAATGAGAATTTAGAAGATGATGTTTATATGGATCAACTAATGAGGTTCATTAAAGAAGGAAAGGAACATATGGTGTATAAACTTAAGAAATCAATATATGGACTTAAACAGGCTTCTTAGCAATGGTATCTTAAGTTCAATAATATTATTGTGTCCTTTAGATTTAGGAAAACATTGTTAATCAATGTATATATATAAAGGTTATTGGAAGCAAGTTTATATTTTTAATTTTATATGTTGATAATATCTTGTTTACAATTAATGATCTTGGTCTATTAAGTGAGATTAAGAAATCTCTCTCTAATAACTTTGAAATGAAAAATATGGGTGAAACATGTTGTGTGATAGAAATAGAAATATTTCGTTACAGATCACAAGGACTGTTAGACTTGTCTCAAAAAGTATACATAAATAAAGTTTTAGAGAGATTCTGAATGGATAAATGTTCAACATCTCTCATTCCAATATAGAAATGAGACAAATTTAGTCTGATATAATGTCCAAAGAATGATTTGGAACTGAAATGGATAGAAAAAAGATGGTATTAATTATAAGGAAACTTTTTTTTTTGTTTCTAAAAAATATTTTTTAGAATTATTATGACATTAATACCTCATTATGATATTGAGTTGTATCAAATGGATGTTAAAATCATCTTTCTGAATGAGAATTTAGAAGATGATGTTTATATGGATCAACTAATGAGGTTCATTAAAGAAGGAAAGGAACATATGGTGTGTAAACTTAAGAAATCAATATATGGACTTAAACAGGCTTCTTAGCAATGGTATCTTAAGTTCAATAATATTATTGTGTCCTTTAGATTTAGGAAAACATTGTTAATCAATGTATATATCTAAAGGTTATTGGAAGCAAGTTTATATTTTTAATTTTATATGTTGATAATATCTTGTTTACAATTAATGATCTTGGTCTATTAACTGAGATTAAGAAATCTCTCTCTAATAACTTTGAAATGAAAAATATGAGTGAAACATGTTGTGTGATAGAAATAGAAATATTTCGTGATAGATCACAAGGACTGTTAGACTTGTCTAAAAAAACATACATAAATAAAGTTTTAGAGAGATTCTGAATGGATAAATGTTCAACATCTCTCATTCCAATATAGAAATGAGACAAATTTAGTCTTATATAATGTCCAAAGAATGATTTGGAACTGAAATGGATAGAAAATATCCCTTATGCATATGCATATATTATTGGGAATTTGATGTATGTTCAAACATGTATAACCAAATATTAGCTTTGTAGTAGGTATGATTGATAGATACCATAGTAATCTAGAATTGGATCATTAGAAAGTCTTAAGATACTTACAAGAGACAAAGAATCACATACTTACTTATACGAAATCTAATCACCATGATGTGATTGGATATACACATTAAAAAAAAATTGTTGTATAGATACAAGAAAGTTTACATTTGGTTATGTGTATCTTTTAACGGTAGGAGTGATCCCATGGAAAAGTATGAAACAATCAGTCATTATTGCATCCACCATAGAGGTTGAATTTGTGACATGTTTTGGAGTCACAACAAGTTAATTGATTGCGAAATTTTATTTCAGGACTTGGAGTAGTTGACAGTATTACTAAGTCATTGAGAATTTATTGTGATAATTCTGCAATTGTCTTCTTTTCTAAAAATGACAAGTATTTTAAAGGTATTAAATATATATGAAATTGTAATGCTTAGACGTTAAAAAAGTTCAGAAACATAGTGTCAATGAAACATATTAGTATTGATCTTAAAATTATTGACCCTTTGATAAAATGGTTACCACCCAAAGTGTTTATTGGTCATGTAGAGAATATGAACATTATGTCTACTAGTGAATGTTGGATGTGAATATTATTATTAATGCCTATTTGACACTTTGAGCTCATTATTTAAAAGTTTTTAAAATTTATGTTTTCCACTTTATGTATATGCTTGCAAATTATGATATGGAAAACAAATTATGATTATTGTTAATGAAAATAACATTATGTTTGGATTCATTATGAACTTCTAATTATAAAAGATAATATAGTAGTATATAAATGAGAATATGTTTATTGAATGATATGTAGTTGTGATGAATCTTATTATTTTATATATTTAATTATGATTAATGATAAAATTAATTTATACAAGATATTTTAATTTTAATGTGAATTATGATTTATGTAATTATTAAATTATGAAGTATTATGACATTGTATGAGTAGAGTGAGAGAATGTTAGAAAAATAAATAAATGTATGAGAAGTTTTAAAATGTATGAAATGATTTAAAATTAATGATAATTAACTTAGTGAATAATATAAAAAGTTATCTTAGAGTGAACAACTTGATGAAAATTGACTAAAAATTATTTTTACTTTGTATAAAAAAGAGAGAAAATAGAGTTAAAAATGGAGAAAAAAAGATTGAAAAAAGAAAATTAAAGAAATTATTTTTATTAAGTATCTAAAAAAATAAGTTAAGTCTCTCATTTGATAATTTATGTAAAAATTATAAATTTTAATATACATAAATATTTAAGAATATATAAACATTATAATTCACTTTCATCATAGTATTAATAGACCTTTCTCATGGGCCAGACCCAATAAAACGAGGCCCAATAAATCACATACGTTGAAAATATGAACGACACGACAGACAAACTACGAAAGAAGAATAAAAGAAATTGCATTTATGTATAATCCCCGATATCTCCAGGACTCGTACTAGTAAAAGACAAAATTTCACTTATAAAAGGACCAATACCAAAATCAGGCAATAGATTATATTCATATTTTACTCTATCAAATGTTATAGTAATAACATCAAAATTACCTCACACTCATGTGTTCACATGAGTCAGAAAATTCATATTTGATTGCTGGAAAAATCCATCACGTTTCCATGAGTAGATGAGTATCTCATTATGGATTAGAAGAAACCAGAAAAAAAAAAAGAAAAAAAAAAGGAAGAATACTTGGAAGACCATGTATGAAGCAAAATGAGGGTAGTCTTGCATTCACCCTTTGCATAATAATTTTCCACAAAGAAAAAAACAGCGTTATCTGTAGAATAATTTAGAGAGCAAAGCGAAAGTCATATGTGCGTAGGTTCCAATTTACCAATGTTGTTGTTGTTGTTTTCAAAAAGCAAAAAGAAAAATGCCTGTCACTTTCTCTCTCTTGCCCGCACTGCCCCACTCCCCTACTTTTCACATTTTCAAGTCTGCCCGACCTGCCCGACCTGCCCGCTATGGAAAAACTTTCTCTCTGTCACAAGCACTCTCCCGCTTTCCTCCTAATTCTTCAACACTACACCAACTCCAATCTCTCTTCCACTTTGCTTTGGACTTTGGACTCAGTTTACAACCTGGTTTGGTGTGTAGCTTTGTGTTCTGCTGTGTTGGTCTCGCCCTTTCATCAGTGTACATGTGTTTGTTCATCCTTGATAACATTCAATGCCATGTTATATTCTTTTCCTCTAGTTCCTTCCAAATTCTTCAATTTGTAGTTTCTACCTTTATATCTAACATTTGTTTTTTCCTAACATTCAATGCCGTGAGAGCAGCTTATTTTGAGGCATTAGTCTCTGACTTTTGACCCAAAGATATATTGAGTTAACACCCAAAGGAAAGTTGGTCAATCATTTCAAGTGGGGTGCTTTGAAGGCTTGAATTTGAGGTGGCTTTGTGTCAAAGTTTGAGACTTTGGGGCATGGAGAGTCGTTTGTAAGAGTTTTTGGAAGATGGGGTTTGGGAGTAATGCAGTTCAAGCAGGGAGTTTGGATGTGGACAATTCAAAAGGCAGGAAGAACAAGGAAGGTGGTGGAAAGGAGAGAAAGTGGTGGTTTAGATTTAGCCTCTTTGGGAGTTGCATACCTTCAAGATCAAAAGTTGATAGCACCATTAGTGGCACTAGTGCTCCTAATAATGGTATTTTGCTTTCCACATCAATTTCCTTGGTTTCATGAAGATACGTTCTATTTGTCATTAATTATGGGTGGCCAAAATTGGTTGTTTGTCTTTACATTTTGGGTTATACGATCTGATCATCAAACCCTTTTGTGTTTTAGAGTGTGAATCTGTTTTCAGATACTATAGGAATTCTGAGTTTCTTACAATAGAAGTGATGTGAGTTATTATTGTGCATTTTTGTTGAGCAAGTTGGAGATCTAACAAATTCATTTGGAAATAATTAAAGGCTTTCAATGACACGTTCTTTTCTGCATAACCTTTGGACCACGGCATGTTCTTTTTTTAAGCACTGTCTGTCTACACTTGATGTTGGGAAAAGAGCCAAGAAAAGAACTTTTGTAAATGATATCTAATTGTTCTGACAATTGTATTATCATATAAATCACTATAAACATCCTGACAACATAAGTTATGAATAAAATTTTAGTATTGACACCGAGAAGCATTATTCATGTAGTCGACCTCACCTGCTGAGATAAAACTTTGTTATTGTTGTATCCTGAGATTATTCAATTATTCAATCTTATAAGAAATTATAAAAGTTGCTCGACTCACAAACAATTTTGCAACGCATTGACCATTTGCACGACACTGCTTGATTGTATTTACTATTTTGTTATTATACAAGTCTTGTCAAACTAAAATGAAGTTGTGTAAAGTCAAGAATGCCATGATCAAATCATGTGATAGTGTCCATTTGTTCTTATTTTTAGGTGAAAATGTCAAGTCAGTGATAACTGAATCAGAGCAAAACAAATCTGCATCTGATAAAATCACGAAGGAAGCAGCTCCTCCAGAGTCCTCTACAATAACTAGTGATGCTGAAAGTAACCCTTTGACTCCTATACACAGTGAGGAGTTGAAGGTTGCTTCTTGCTTGAGAAAATTCACATTCAATGGACTTAAGATGGCAACTAGGAATTTCAGACCAGAGAGTCTTCTTGGTGAGGGAGGGTTTGGTTGCGTCTTCAAGGGTTGGATTGAAGAGAAGGGAACTGCACCTGTGAAACCAGGCACCGGGCTTACGGTTGCGGTTAAGACCCTCAACCACAATGGACATCAGGGTCACAAGGAGTGGCTTGTATGAAACTTATATATCCTTCTCAACTTTTTCATTTTCATCCTTTTGTTGTTATAGTTCATATTGTTTTAACATTCTCACTATTTGCTTCTACGCAGGCTGAGTTAAATTATCTTGGTGATCTTGTCCATCCTAATCTTGTTAAACTGGTTGGTTTCTGTATTGAAGATGACCAAAGATTACTGGTTTATGAGTTTATGCCCCGCGGCAGTTTGGAGAACCACCTCTTTAGAAGTACACTACTAACCTTTTTTTATTTCTTTGGTAAACCTTTTCCTGTTCTATTGCATGTCTTCAATCTGCCTTTTTTTCTCATCTCTTCTGTGTAAGACGTTGTAACTGCAGCAAATTTGGATGTCTCAACAGTTGACACATACAAAATAAAATTTAGATGAAAATGAGTGTAATTATTGCTGATGCTACTACTTATCCCAATATAATTTATAAATATAAAGTTAGCCAAAGAGATAGTACTTAATGACCGTACAATAACAGGTATCATATAGTCTAGCAAATAAATAACTATAGTTCTAGGAAACTAACCAGCACAAGTGGGTTTAGATTCTAAATAATCTATTGAGATCATAAAATTGCTACTGATAAACTTAATCCTTTAATTGATTTCCAACTAATAGTTGGAGCCTACGGTAATTTTTCAATTCACAGGCTTTCATGCTCATACAGAACAAAAGCTAAAGTAAAATGGTCCTCTTCTCATAATGCATTTTTTCTTTCTGATAGGCATACGTTCTTTGGAAAAATTTCATGGTTAAGATTTATACTTTTTCTTGTAACAACCATTTTTTATGTTGAAGGACCCCTGCCTCTTCCTTGGTCTATCAGAATGAAAATTGCACTTGGTGCTGCAAACGGTCTTGCGTTTCTCCACGAAGAGGCTCAAAGACCCATAATATATCGTGATTTCAAAACATCTAATATACTATTAGATGCGGTATGTAAGTAAATTAGTCAAGAAAGTATTTGTTATTTCTTATTCGTCCAACCCAGAAACTAAAAACAAAATGTTTATAGGAATACAATGCCAAGCTTTCTGATTTTGGACTTGCCAAAGATGGTCCTGAGGGGGAAAAGACACATGTATCGACAAGAGTTATGGGAACATATGGTTATGCTGCTCCAGAGTATGTGATGACTGGTTAGTTTAGAGCCTTCCCTTACTTGAATACTATGCTTTTCCGTTTTTGAAGTTCTTGGACTATCATGATTCCTTTATAGAGAAAACCCTCAGTTTTATCCTTCAAAGTTATAGTCATATTCCCATTAAGATGTCAGATGATGATCACAGTACCAGGTACTGTCTATGAGCATAGTGATTGCTAAGATCAAACCCTGATGCCATATAAATTTTCTGAAATTAAACCTTTTATTCTTGTGTGAGAGATAAAGATGGCTATTATATCAATAACAATCTCAGCCACATGGTACAGAATGAAGAATATGGCTCTAAAATCATTTATGTATACTAATATAAAACACTTTTGAGCTCAAGAGAGAAGAAAAAATAAGTTTGTGATTTGATTAAATGAATCAAAGTGATTACATCAGGTCAAATCTTTATAGGCATTAACTGAGTAATAGCTAACTCTGAACAACTAATAACTAATCTCCAACTAACTTATATCTCTAAAAAATACTATAACATGTCAATATCAAGCTGTCGTCCTCATGTTTGTTATCCTTCAAGTTGTGATCAGTTCTGGCACTATTTCTTTTAAGCTCTGACGTTGCACGCTTGTCCAACCATGAGACCTGTTTAATCCTTTGTCTACTTAATAATTCGTTTGCCTTGCATGATGAATGACTATGACTAAATTATAAGCATCATTATCCAACAAACTCTGATCTGAAAAGAGTAAATATCAACAATGTTTTGAATTTCATAATTAAGATGGTTTGAGATAATTGGATATAACCTCAATCTCTCCAAGCCATCAAGAAGCAAAAGCGGAACGGGTAGCCAGTGACCTTTTAAAGTTTCATATTATTAATTATTTTTTGATCTTTATCTTAAACACAAGGAGTAACCATGATAAAATAGCAAACAAGATAGTTAACTCAGGTTTTGCCTACTGATAACTGAACAATTGTTACTGAACAATTGTTACCCAATGATTTTATTTATATCTTTTGTGCATAGATGTATACTTACAATCCAATTCTTATTAGGACATTTGACATCAAAAAGTGATGTCTACAGCTTTGGAGTAGTGCTACTTGAAATGCTCACCGGCCGAAGATCTATTGACAAGAAAAGACCAAATGGGGAACACAATCTAGTCGAGTGGGCAAGACCTGTACTTGGAAACCGGCGGATGTTCTACAGGATAATTGACCCCCGCCTCGATGGCCATTTCTCGGTTAAAGGGGCACAAAAAGCTGTCCAGCTTGCTGCTCAGTGCCTGAGCCGTGATCCAAAATCCAGACCCTTGATGAGTGAAGTTGTTCAAGCTTTAAAGCCTTTGCCAAGCCTCAAGGACATGGCTATCTCATCTTATCACTTCCAGATTGCGCGAGTAGATCGAACCATGTCCATGCCTAATCATAAAAATGTCATTAGAACACAGCTAGTATCGGTGCCAAGGAAGGCTCAACCTGTAAGGACATTGTCTAGTCCAAATGTTCCACATGGTTCTCCTCATATTCAATATACCAAGTCTCCAAATCCTATGGGTAAGAATCACACTACACCATCTTTAGTTCGATGATTCTCTATTCATTCAGTTCCCACAAATAGGCCATCAATCAATATATAATCTCAAATAAGTCGAGTGCACTTGTCATTTACAGATTTCAAGTGGGAAACTGACAGTTTCTTCCTTTCAGAATGTATTTTTTGTAAAGAAGAACAAAAAAATGTGGTGTTAACTCCTGTTAGTCATAGATTTTTACACACTCATTTGGGCAATATACTTTTCAGTAAATACTTATTGATGTAATCAGATGTTGTACTGGAAAAATGCTTGTTTTATTTTTATTGTTGTGTCAAATGTTTGTTTAAAAACAGCATTGTATTGTTGCTATGTACACTGTATTCTCAACTGTTATTGTAGTGGTTATTTATTTTATTTAAAGTTCAGGTGTTATCAATTGATATTCTGATGCTTTGAATGCAACATTTATTTTAGAGGGTTTGTTTTCAGTCCCTATTTTATTTCATTTTGTTTAATTTTGTCTTTCATTTTGCTTTTAGTCTCTATGTTTAGTTTTCTCCTATAAATCGATAAGGATGATCTTGTCCTAATGTCACGATCACACAATTACATTAAATATTTTGTTTTAAATAAAATAAATATAAAAAATAAGAGATGAAGGTAAATAAACAAAAAGATAAGTTATAAGAGATAAAAATAAAAAACAAAATTATTTGTAAATACAAAAATAGATAAACGTAAAGAATATATATATATATATATATATATATATATATATATATATATATATATATATATAAAGATGAATAAATAAAATTTTGATTTGAAATAATCATCAGAATAATTTATAGATAGATTTAAAGGATGTGATAGATTATAATATAAAGATAATAGGGTTAAACTTTACAAAATCACCCGAATTAAAAATAAACTTCAATTGATCAATTATAAAATTTTTTTTCTAATTATTATATATATTAATAATGTTAAATATTTTTTTTACAATAATCTAAGTTTAAAAATGACAATAATTTTTATTTTTAGTCATTATAAATATATTTTTATTATTGTAGTTTTTGATGACTTCATGTAGTGATAAATAAGGATCATAATGAATACTATGATGGATATGATTTGATTTGTTATGTGGACATTAAGTGGAAGCTTATTTGTACCAACTGGAGATGACTTATTCTAAAAACACAGTGTGTGTTATCATTATATTTGTTATTTGCTTTTTTAATAATATGTGTCCAATATAAAAAGATAATAATTTTAATAAAATTAAATGTCACAAATATCAATAAATTGACTTCACCTCTTCACAAGTTTAAAAATTAAAATTTGTGACCCAAATGATATACAAAAGAATGGGTTGAATTTAGTTAGATCCAAATATTAAACAAAAATAACCAAAATTTGGATCAAGAAACCACCTTTTTTTCTGGTGAAGGTGTCTTCTTACAAGCAAAAACCTTTTCATAGGCTTCAAGTAAAAACTTTTTTCTAGTGAAGGTTTCTTCTTACAACAGTGATGGAAAGGATAAAAAAGTGAGGGTCTATTGGTCTCCACAAAAGATAGATCAACAAAATGCAATTAATATTATCAATTTTTAATTTAGAAACTATTTTATACAAAAATTGGAATTGACCTGAAAATTTGAGTGGATTTATCAGAAAAAAAATAAAAAACTGCAAACAATTTTTTTTAAAAAATTAATCACCACTTTGGGAGCATGAATAAATAAAGAGAAACAGCAGACAAAACTTTCTTTTCCTCCTCTCTTTGTTTTTTTCTTTATTATTATTATTATTATTATTATTATTATTATTATTATTATTTCTTTTTAAGTCTTTTCAAACAACTTATAAAGTCTTCACGCTAATCCATATTGTGAACTTCTTCTTTTTTTTATTATAAAATATATATTTTTATTTTTATATTTCACCCAAATTATATATATAATCATTATGTTTAATATTTTTATAAATTTTAATAATTAAATTATTATCATAAATTATTAAATTTATTTTCTTTAGTTTTATCTCAAACAATACACTTTATCATAAAATATTTTAAATTCTTTAATAAAATGAATTACTCTATAATTCTATATATAAATATAAATATAACTTTAAATTTGTTCTTAAAATATATCTCTTGATTTCTAATTTTTAAAACTTTTAAGTTATATATAAAAACGTGTACTTAGTTATTTTCTATGGAAAGATACTTTGAATCGGTGGGTGGTGCACAAATACTTGGAGGAAAAGTCAACTTGAAAGATTATTGAGTTGGCAGAGACCAAGACTTAGTAGCCACTTGTTCTGTCAATGCAATTGTTTAGTCTTATCAGTGTGAAGTGTTAATCAAAGAAAATCTGATATTAATTTATAAAATTTGAATTAAAGAAATTGATTGTAATATGTATGCGCAGTTGTAACGATTGGAAAAAATATATTAAGAATATTATTTTATATTATAACATCTTGATTTTTCACATAACTTTTTGCATCCAAATTCCATGAAAAAACCATAGACAAAAAATGTGAAGTTCTTGATGTACCAGAAGCTTCATCGTTATTCTTCTGCAATCAATTTAAAAATTGAATTCGTCAAACCCATTTATGCTGTTCATTTTCATTGTTCATATTATTCTATGCCAAATATGCATATTTCATACCTTCGTCTCATTCTTTGGAAATTTCACAAAAAGCCCGTTTCGCTGTCACGTAATCCAAACACGCCACGCCACGCCAACTTAAGTTTTATTCTGTATAAATTAAAATAATTAATTTACCATCACATTATTTTCTATTTTAAATATTAAATTTACCATCTATATATATATAAATATATATATATATATATATATATATATATATATTTTTTTTTTTTTTGCAAACATCAACTGTGTCATGTTCCAAAGTAGCATTATTAAACAATTAATTTATGCTTTCATTTCAACTAACAGTAGTATGAGAGGTTTTGAACTGAGAAATTTTTATTTGAAATTGTGTTACAATGATAAAAAATAATAATTTTATTTAAACTTATATTTTTATTTAAACTGGTAAATACATTTTTAGTTTTACGAATACAATATTAACACTTTTTATTTGAAAATTGTTAAAATGAAAAAAATATTTTGTTTAAACTTTATTTTATAATATAATTTATTTGAATTTATATCTGAGTGATTTTATTTATGCTAATATTTTATCATGTAATTCTATTTAAATTCTAATTAAAATTTTAATTTGAGTTTATATTTAAAAATTATTTTTTTAAATAATCTTAATTCAAAAAAATTAAAATTAAAATCTACCTTAAAATTTACAGATGCTTGTATGATAAAATAATTTATAAGTTTTTTTCTAAATAAGATAAAGAACACAATTTTTTAAATAACAAATACTACTAGTGGTATATTCTATTATTATTTCTAAGATATTATTATAATTTTTTTTAAGAATATTTTGAGATGTATGTTAAGGTCGATAAATACTAGATTTTTTGTGTTGAAAAAACAAAAAACATAGACTTTTTAACATCATTATCAAGTGTCTCTCAATTATGAGAAGATGAAGTTTCATTTATATAATTTAATATTCAATGTATTTAAAATATTGACTGAAAATAATTTCAGATATTTTATTAAAAATATTATTATCATAAAATATCACTTAAATTGATATGATTTTTATTTATGTTCGTTCGTATTATAATTTTTGTATAATTATAATTTTTTTACGAAATTTTAGGATAATTATGGTAAATTATTAATTCATAAATATTTTTTTCTAATAGATTATGATTATATATACATTAACTCATAGGATATTTAATTTTGCTAGAAAAGTTATAATTCATAGGTAGATTTAAAAATACTTATATTATGAGATAATTTAAAGATTGTTTTCTGACCAACAAATAATTGGTAATACTTAAAAAAAAAAAAAATTTATGTGAGATTTTAATATTATCTCTATTTAAAGGTTTATATTGTACTTCAATGTTATATCCATTAAGAGATTTATATGAGATTTCAATATTATCTTTGATAAAAAATTATTGTGATGTTTTAATATAAATTTATTCTTCATCTTCTAAAAGGGTAATAATATGAAATTGCATCATTTAAATTCATATCATATTCTAAAATTTAGATTTCTTATTGATTTTCTCCTTCAAAGTTAAACTAAAAGGCAATTTATTGAGAACCACATTCAAAATTTTTATACTCCCTACTTTATTACTTGTAAATCCCGAATTTGGGCCTTAAATTAAGTTCTTATAGTCTTATAAAAATTTTAAATCATAAATTTATCATTTTTTTTACAATCAAATCATTTATTCATCTATCATCATCATTAAAAGTAACACATCAACAAGGTTCATCTAAAGTTTAAAATTTAAATGGATTTCATACATTAAAATGTATCACTTATAAAAAGTTTAGAACTTTTGTTTAAAACTAATGAAAATAAAATTTTATAACCATTTACAAATTCACAAATATCGCAATAAAAACTACAAACATTATATTTTTTTAAATAAACTATGAAATAATTTTCTCATGTACCAAAATGAGATATGACGAATGATTGATGTCATAATTTGATTTCAGATTATTTATTCTTCCATTAGAACTATCAATAATTAAAACGTATTCTAACTTATTATAGTTTTTTTACATTAAATATGTATAATACAAATTTTTTCTCTTATACCATAATTAATTATTTTTTTTATTTCTTTATTTCTTTTAGAACAAAAGAGTTGGAAAAAAATTGTTTTCACACAAAATGAATCAATTATTAATAATATAATTTATAACGATAATAAATTATTTATGATTATATATTTATTATATTTTTATAACCATTTGATTTAACTAAAAAATAGGTTATAAATGTATATTGAACAATTTAACTATTTTAGTAAACTATAAATCAGAATGATAATTTATAATTAAATAATATTCTTATGTGAATTTTTCAATTGAAGAATACATTATTATTATTATATATTCTTTTGAGTTTTAGAATATCGTTCATCATTTTCCATCATAGTTTAACAAAATACATTTTCATTTTGTTTACCAATAAATACCTTATTTCTTAGTTTTATCATGTCTTTATTCTTCTTATCATCTTAACATAGTTTTTGGAAAAAAATATATATTAAAAACTCCTTGAGTTTAAATAATAGAAGAGATTAATTATATTCTAAATGATCAAGGTTCCAAAGAATTTCATATCTAAATGATTATCATCTTCTAATACTAACTTAAAATAATATAAATTAAAATATATTCATTCATTAAAGTATATAATCAATTTATAAAATATAAAATTATACAAATGTACCTATCGATCGTTAACAAAGTAGAATATTTTATAATTATATTAATTATAACTAAATATTATATAACCTGTGTAATAATATCCTAAAAAAATTGTATAAATTAAATAATTACACATATATATATATATAATATTAATTGTATAAAATTAATCATATATTATATTTAATATATAATAAATAATACTTTAATATTATATATATATATATATATATATATATACTATATAATAAACTGTTTGTAGTATTAATTATATATTATTTTCATAAAAAGGAATATTAAAATAAATGAAAAAATAATAAAAAAACTGAATAAAATAAAACTATAACTTAATCTTAAAAAATAATACTCATCCCTTGATATTGTATAATTATTATTCATACGATTTTTAGAATAATTATTATGATAAAAACAATGACTTAATCAAAATATCAATTGTAATATTAATCAATAATATTTTTATCTATACAAATGTAGTTCAGATTTAATTTTACAAAAGAAAAATGTTTTACCAAAAATCTAAACCAATATAACATGAATATCCACAAAATAGAAGACTTTGATAGAATTGATGATTGATAAATACACAAGTGGAAGAAGATATTTACAACCTAAAATAAATGGCTTATGTGAGTTGTGACCCGCCAACTTGGTCCCATGGCGAAAGAAACGAAGGAGTTATTATAATCATTTATTAATGGGTAACCCCACGCCATCTTCAAAATATTCTTATTTATCTTTAGTAAAAGAGATAATTTAATTATTTTTAGATATTTTAATATTTCTTATTTTGTTAGTTTATTTTAGATTAAAAATTGGTTCTCTTTTAGTATTAGATAATAAACTTTGTTTTTAATTATATATTCTTTTTGTTAAAAATAAATTTTATAAAAAATTGATATATATATATATATATATATATATATATATATGTATATAAAGGATTTTTGCCTATTTTTTAAAATATTTTAATTTAAAGAAAAATTAGTTATTATAATTTATATATTTTAAAAGTAAAAAAATACAAAAAAAAATGTTTTAACAATAGTACGTGTTTTCATTCGTGTATATATATATAATGTCTCTGTGGATTAGTATAAAGATTCATTAGTGTTTCTCAGCCTAAAAGGTGAATTTCTTCACTTTCTCTTTGTTGTTGGAAAACGAACCAGTTTTGGTCTTTGAAACTTCTTACGGGTGATTCTCGCGTTATGATATGAATTGTGTTCGTTTAAACTTTTTGTCGAAGGGGTTTGTGTTCAATTTTGTGTTTGCTTTCTAGGATCAGTTCAAAATAGCATTTTTGGCGGTTTGATTTGTCTTTGCAGCTTTGGTTTGGGACTTCTAGTTTTATTGGATCCGAAGATTTGATTGACAATTCGTGTTTCACTGTTTCTCACTTCTAGGGTTCCGTGTATTTTTTCTGGAATTTGGATGCTTTTCTCTGCATGTTTCTTTGAAAAACAAAGGAGAATGTGGAGTTCCAATCCAAATGAGTGTTTATTAAAGTTGAAAACTGAGATTTTTGTTATTGGATTTGTTGTTGAATTTTAATGTGTTGTTTCCTTTGTCTTTTGTTATGTTACCCCTTCAAAAGTCAGGTATATTAGATAAACGAAATTGTAAAATTTTACTGTAGTGTTGTACCTAATCTATTGTTTTATTCATTCATTACAAAATTATTTTTCACTCTTACTTTTTCCTTTAATGAAAACAAATTTGCAATTGTCATAAATGCTCGTGTTGCCTTTATTCTCGTCTGCTTTGAAATTTCTTATTGAGTATTTCTTTTAGCTGAGGGTCTTTGGTTTTTGTTGACCTTTTACCCACTGTTTATTTGAATTCGATTTTTGAAAATTTGAACTTCTTTAATCCACTATATCCACTTTCTGCCAAGAGTTTTTCAGTTTTTACCTTGTCACTTTCTTCGTAAACTGGTTATGTGAATTCTGAAAGTTAAAAAGGAAATTTTATCTTGAGTATTTCATTTTGGCTGAGAGTCTTAGACTTTTGTTGACTTTTGCCCGCTGTTTCTTTGCAATTACAGTTTTGAAATTTTGAACTTCTTCCATCCACTATATCCATTTTCTGTGGTTAAAAGTGTTTTCAGATTTTACCTTGTCATTTTCTGGTAAACTGGTGATGTGAGTTCTGAAAGTTAAAACAGATTGGTGGAAGCAAAATGCTAATCTTCCCTATCTTTGATTTATTTTGGTGAGTAGTGTTATTCTATTGCAGAACTGAAGGATGGGTCAAGCATTCGGTTGCTATCAAGTTGATCAGTCAAATGTAGCCATCAAGGAGCATTTCGGAAAATTTTCTGATGTTCTAGAACCTGGATGTCATTGCCTGCCTTGGTGTCTTGGGTATCAGATCGCTGGTGGTTTGTCTCTGCGTGTGCAGCAACTTGATGTTCGATGTGAGACAAAAACCAAGGTATCTGTTGCTTCCTTTCCTTCCTACTTTGTTTCATGGTGCTGTTCATCATTTTGTTAATATGATTTGTCGTTATTTTAATTACTATCATGAAATTGTTTGGGATATAACATTAGGCAGTTTATACTTGAATGGCATTAATAACAATTTATTTGTGTATTTCAAATAAACCCCATATAAAGAGTTTAGGGAAAATATTTTGTTACTGTTTTCATTGATCTATATAATGTATAATCTTCATTAAATTTAAGGAATGAGATTGAACTTTGAATGCTCTCCTCTTTTAATATGATTTCGAAAAGAATTTGTATAATTGTTTCTCTTCAAATGTGGATGATATTTCCTATGTGATTTATTGTGATCTGTTATTAAAGTTTAACTTACATTAACTTGTTAGGATAATGTCTTTGTCACTGTGGTTGCGTCTGTGCAATACCGAGCTGTGGCTGAGAAAGCATCTGATGCATTCTATAGGCTTACCAACACAAGGGAGCAGATCCAATCATATGTTTTTGATGGTATGCATGATGATTTTTCTATTTCATTCTATTTTGAAATGCCATGAATATGTAATTATTGCATTCGAAGGGATTAGTCTACTTTAATCATTGATGGCTATAATTTGTGAAGCAATTTACTTATTGGATGTTGTGTCATAGCATAATTGATAACTCTGGTTAACTTCTTTAATGCTGATGTTTTTGCATTGATTCAGTTATCAGGGCTAGTGTACCAAAGTTGGAGTTGGATTCTGTCTTTGAACAGAAGAATGATATAGCAAAGGCTGTGGAGGAGGAGCTTGAGAAGGTAATCATTCTTTCCAACAATTGCTTTGTTTTTCTCTTTTTTCTGTACGTAAAATATTCATGTGCAGATTATTCAAGGTTGTAACTTGCAATCATCCATATTAACAAGTTGATTCAACCTTGATGTTCTTAGGCCATGTCAACTTATGGATTTGAGATAGTCCAGACCCTCATTGTTGATATAGAGCCCGACGTTAATGTCAAGAGAGCAATGAACGAGATTAATGCAGGTAACATGTTCTAGATCCTAAAGAAAAAACTGCTATATATTTGTGAATATATTTATCTTGCAATTTTCTGTATCAAAATACTCTTACCTTGCATAAGATGTACACTACATAGAGATGTTATACGTGCTGTGTTTGAGTTCTTGCATTGATTTTGGATGGAACTGACTTTGTGTATACACAAAAATTACATATTCTCTGAGAATAAATTAGGAATTACAAATTTAAGATTTGCATTCGTAGAGACTTCTGTACCGTACAGCATGTTTTTAGAGGGCTTCTTGTGGATACAAAATTTGATTTATCATTGCGATTTTGATTATATCCTCATCCTTTTCGCCATTTTATTGACAGCTGCTAGATTAAGGTTGGCTGCAAATGAGAAGGCTGAAGCAGAAAAAATTCTGCAGATCAAGAAAGCAGAGGGAGAAGCAGAATCCAAATATCTGTCAGGACTCGGTATAGCTCGCCAACGGCAGGCCATTGTGGATGGACTGAGGGACAGTGTGCTTGCCTTCTCTGAGAACGTGCCCGGGACAACAGCTAAAGATGTCATGGACATGGTGCTGGTCACTCAATACTTCGACACCATGAAAGAGATAGGGGCATCTTCAAAGTCCTCGTCTGTGTTCATACCGCACGGCCCCGGCGCGGTGAAGGACATTGCCGTGCAGATCCGGGATGGCCTTCTCCAGGCTAGCGCTTCACAGATAAATTAAGCTTTCTTGGAGTTGTAAATAACATAGTATGTGCGTTTTCTTTTGTTTGAACTTAGAATTTCTGCATCTTTACTCTTCGTATATTTGCATAGATTCATAGAAGTGTCTATTTTTCATTAAGTTCTAATGTGCAGTTTTTTTAATACTTGTGTTGAGAATAGTCTTTCTTGTCAATGTTATTGTTGGAGGATGTAATACAAGAATTACTTTTCAAAAGATGTGTACTTCTCAAGTCCTATCCTGTAAGTTGAGTGTGAAAAATTGTAGTTACCTATATTTACTATTTATTGCACATTGATTTCACCTATCTTTTATCTTTGCTTCTTGAAAGTGTTCCCTTAGTTTTTGTATTATATTTAAAATGATTTGGGAACCATGCGGCCTATAACAATTGTGTATTATGAAACATTTTGACATTATATTTTATGTAAGTCTATTTCTGAAATATCTTATTTAAGTCTATTTCTCCTAAAATACTTCTTTTGTAATTAAAATATTATATTTTTGGAATTATATTCCACATTATATTTAAAAATAATCATGGACTAAGTACATTATATTCCACATTATATTTAAAATAATATAAACATATTGTTATTGTTATTATATTTTATTTATCTATTATAATAATAAATTATTAAAAAAAAAGTCATACGACTTTATACAACTAAACGTATAAAAAATATTAATATAATATAATTTTATCTAAAATAATTATAATAATGATAATAATAATTTAAATTAAAACCCTATTATCAAGTATATTTTTTTAAAATATAATATAATTTTTATCTATTATAATAATAATAATAATAATAATTTAAAATTGTATTATTAATTATATTTTTTTATTATTTTAAAGTCATACTTATAGCACAACTTATTTCACAATTGTTTTATAATTTATTCATTTTGATAAATTAAAAAGTAAATTAAATTAATTTCATAAAAAAATCTCTTTATCATCTTATTTTATTGTTTTATTTTTATTTAGAAAATTAGTTCTTTTAATATATATATATATATATATATATATATATATATATATATATATTTAGATTCGAATCAATAAAATGAATTTAAGATTTAAAAAATTAATTAGATTTAATAAAATAATATTTTTATAATATAATAAGTATATACCGGTCTGGTCTAATCGAAGTCAACTGACTCACATGGGATACGGGGTGAGTTTTAACCGATCGCTTGAGTCTATAGGCTATCTCTTCTATCCGCTTCTTTACAAGGTCTACTTTCTTCTTCCTTCAGACCGGGCTAAGTCTTTAGTTTAAGTAGGTTTGAGCTAGGTCGTTGCGCTCCAGCCACGTCTTGGCTTATTATTAATAATATATATTTTAAAATAATAATAAAATTTATTATTATAGTTATAAATATAAAATAATATTAGAGAGTTTAAAATGAATAATTATTAAAATATAATAAAATTATTATTATTAAATAAAAGAATCAAAATAATTTTTTTTAACAAAATTTTTTTAACAAAAATTTAATCTTTATTTTTTATTAATTATATTAACAAAAAATTAATCCTAATTTAATCGTAATTATATTAAAAATTATCATTTTTTGTCTTAATTTTTTGATTTTATCTGATTTAATTAAAATCTAATTATTTAAAAATAATAATTTTTAGTCTGATTTTTAACTTAAACCGGTCGATTTCACTTTTAAAACAGTATATATATATATATATATATATATATATATATATATATATATATATAGAGAGAGAGAGAGAGAGAGAGAGAGAGAGTCATAGGGCCTTACTTTGGGTTCATCGTAATCAGTTTTAACTAATTTATAAAAAAAGTTGTTGAAATTTTTACTTATAAAATAATTAAGCAAAATTTACGTATATCTTTATCAACTTTGTACTGTATGACTAATGCATTTTCATCTAAGTATGAAAATTTTCTTAATTTATTAAATCTCATTATTGCCCTTTCCTTGTTAACATTAGGTATTTTATTCAGAGATCATATTTTTTATATACTGAATAACTCCTTAACTAAAAAATATATATTAACTTTTAAATTTGACTCTAGAGAAAAGAATTTTATACACATTATAACATTGAGTTAACTTAATTAAGGAATATGTTCAATTTTTTTTACGTTGTGACGGTATATGCTCCTAAATTCCTAACAACCAACTCTCTTTATCACTTTGTGATATCCCATTTATGTATGTATAAAAATTTAATGGTAAATTTGTTTAAATTTAATCTAGGTGTTTCTGAAATAAATAAAAAATTATTTTCCAAAATAATTTAATTTTTTTTATTAAAGAATAACACCATCTTTTAATAAAATAAGCAGAGATATAAACAGAAACAAAATTTATTTAATTTAATAATAAATTTTAAATAAATAATTTCATTTTCTATTGATTTCATCTTTAAGGTTTTTTATTTTATTAGAAGATAAATTTGAGAGAGTGGAAAATGATAGATTTGAGTGGAAAGAGAGATGAAAGTAAGATTCTTTCAATTAAGAAAAAGATGATAAGTAGAGATGACAATATAGGTTATTTCTTAGTACGCCTCCATAGTTTCTTCCGTGCACTCCATCATTAAAATAAATTCTATTTCACCTATATGTTTGGAATTGTTTATAATCCGTAAGAAAAGAAACTTGATGCAAGAACAATAAGTGAATATTTCATTGGTTATCTAGAAAAATAAAAAATGTATATATTTTACTGTCCTACTCATAGTACAAGAATTGTTGAAACTGAAAATGTTCGGTCCATTGAAAATAGTGAAATCAGTGGGAGTGAAGCTTCATGAAATGTGGAGATTAAGGAAGTCAAAATATAAGTTCTTATAACTAGTACATCTTCAAGAGTTGTTGTTTCACATGTTGTATAACCACATGACCATAAAGAAGAACAACAAATTAATGATTTCGAAATTAACAATGAGCTGATAATAGAACAACCACAAGAAATAGTATCAAGAAAATCTCACAGAGAAAGAGAGTCTGCAATTTCGAATGATTACGTGGTTTATCTCAGAAAATGACCTAAGTATTGATAATGACTCAGTTTCATTTTCAGAAGCCATTAATGGTGATAATTCTGATAAGTGATTAGATGCTATGAAAGATGAACTTAAATCAATGACACATAGTGGTGTATGAGATATTGTGGAATTGCCAGAAGGATACAAGAGTGTTGGGTGTAAATAAGTCTTTAAGACTAAGCATGACTCTCATGGTAATATCGAACGTTACAAAGTCCGACTTGTTATCAAAAGTTTTACTCAGAAAGACATTGATTATAAGGAAACATTTTCACCTGTTTCTAATAAATATTCCTTTAGAATTATCATGACATTAGTAGCTCATTATGATCTTAGTTGCATCAAATGGATGTTAAAATTGCCTTTCTGAATGAGGATTTAGAGGAGGATGTTTATATGGACCAACCGGTGGGATTTATTGAAGAAGGAAGAGAGCACATGATGTGTAAACTTAAAAAATCAATATATAGACTTAAACAAGATTGTCGACAATGGTTGTTGCCAGAAGAGAGCACAAGTGCAAAAGACAGTATGAAAATTTTTTTCTCGGGAAACCTAAATGTGTTTTGTTGCCTTGCTCAGAATTATTTTCTCAAAACTAATAGAATATAAATTGAATTTTTGAATTCTATAATTGTGTATTTTTTATTTTTCATCAAAACTCATTTAAAGAGGAAAATATCATAAGAAAATAGGCGTTCATCATTAATACTTTCATAGAGAAAAATCAAGATGTATTCAAAAATATTTATTTTTTAAAACGAATATATTTTTCAAATTTGAGCTGTCATAATCGATTATGTTACCGAGTATAATCGATTATGACAAAAAGAAAATTGTTTTTCTATTTCGATGCATCATAATTAATTATGACAGATGAAAAATGTCATGTTACAAAATTTTATTACATTTGTGCGTTGGAGGCTTATGCATAATACGACTTCATCAACTTGTACCTCCATATCCAGTATTCTAAGACTCTATCTAGTCTTCAGGAATCATCTTGGGCTTGTTTGATGTTTGAATATAATCTTTATCAAAATCATATCTTGGGCTTGCTTGAGTTTTGAATGTTGTTGACTTGAATCATTATCAAAATCATCTCTTGGGAATGTAGGGACATGTTTCACATTTCCATCAATCTCTCCCTCAATGCTTTTATACATTTCCCTTGCTCAAAATTATTTTCTCAAAACTGATAGAATATAAATTAAATTTTCGAATTCTATAATTGTGTATTTTTTATTTTTCATCAAAACTCATTTAAAGAGGAAAATATTATAAGAAAATAGTCGTTCGTCATTAATACTTTCATAGAGAAAAATCAGAATGTATTCAAAAGCATTTATTTTTTAAAACAGATATATTTTTCAAATTTGAACTGTCATAATTGATTATGTTACTAGTATAATCGATTATGACAAAAAGAAAATTGTTTTTCTATTTTTGATGCATCATAATTAATTATGACAGTGAAAAATGTCATGTTACAAAATTTTATTACACTTGTGTTTTGGAGGCTTATGCATAATACGACTTCGTCAACTTGTACCTCCATATCCAGTATTCTAAGACTCTATCTAGTCTTCAAGAATCATCTTGAGCTTGCTTGATGTTTGAATAGAATTTATCAAAATCATATATTGGGCTTGCTTGAGTTTTGAATGTTGTTGACTTGAATCATGATCAAAATCATCTCTTGGGAATGTAGGGACATGTTTCACATTTCCATCAATCTCCCCCTCAATGCTTTCATACATTTCCCTTACTCAAAATTATTTTCTCAAAACTGATAGAATATAAATTGAATTTTCGAATTCTATAATTGTGTATTTTTTATTTTTCATCAAAACTCATTTAAAGAGGAAAATATCATAAGAAAATAGTCGTTCGTCATTAATACTTTCATAGAGAAAAATCAGAATGTATTCAAAAATATTTATTTTGTAAAACGGATATATTTTTCAAATTTAAACTACCATAATCGATTATGTTACCAGTATAATCGATTATGACAAAAAGAAAATTGTTTTTCTATTTCTGATGCATCATAATTAATTATGACAGTGAAAAATATCATATTACAAAATTTTATTACACTTATGCTTTGGAGACTTATGCATAATACGACTTCGTCAACTTGTACCTCCATATCCAGTATTCTAAGACTCTATCTAGTCTTCAGGAATCATCTTGGGCTTGCTTGATGTTTGAATAAAATCTTTATCAAAATCATCTCTTGAATGTAGAGATATGTTTCACATTCCCCTCAATGCTTTCATACATTTCCAAACACACTAGTGGTCCTTTTATTTAGTGTCGTTCACTCTAGCAAGACACGCTTACTTGACTCATACATCCCCTCAAGCTCACTAGGATACCACTTGTTGGGATCTTTCGAGGGGGATTTACTGGGGAGAACAACATCAATGATACATGAGCCCAACCCATATAAGGGATTAACATCACTCTCAACCCAAAATCTTAAGACATTAAGTTATTTGTCATACCTTCCTTATATGTTGCTCAATTTTCTCATTCTTACTCAATGTGGAACTTAACTTACACTTGGATTCCTAACACTATGAATGTTTAAAAAAAATATGAAGGTGTAGAAGACAAAAGAGAAGAAACTCTAAGATTTCAAATAAAAATTAATAACAGGGTATTTTGGTCATTTTGGTGTATGAAGAAATAGTCTAAAAATGATTGGGCAAGTTGATAGTTTTAACCTATCAACCACACGAGATATGATGATTTAATTCATTGATCAATTTAAAAAATATTTATATATTAAAATAAAAATAAAAAAGATTATAGTTTAAAATATTACAAAAATATGTAAATATATTATAATATTATAATTTAAATCATAAAAGATAATCAATTTAAGTTTAAATTATTGAATATAATTAGTTATTTTAACACATAAATATAGTAATTTTTTCAATTTGTCTAATAAAAATATTAATTAATAAAAATTTAAAATTATTCAAGGTATATTTTAAAAAATTTATATAAAAAAATCTTATATATAAAAAATTATTGGCTTGCTGGTTTATTTGCCCATTAGTCCGACTTTGGTGAAGCGGACTAAGGTCCGTAACTCATTCCGACTATGACAGATCAACCTATCCTATCCTGTTTTTCACGGACTAGAGGCGGGATGGGCTAAAAATGGGAGGAGTCGACCCGTTTTACTATCTGTAAGGATAAGATGTGTAAAGGAATGGGACGAAAGTTTGTGCAAATTTATAAATGATTTGATTGATATGAATAATAAAAAAATATTTTAATAAAAAATAAAAATAACCAAATTATCCTTAAAAAAATTATTATTATTGATATAATTATTTAAATTATTTTTATTTTAATGATTTTTTATTACTATTATGATAATTATTTTTATTATTAAAATAATTATTAGTATTATTATTATAAAAAATACACATATTCTATTATAAATATACTAAATAGAAGATGGTACTCATATAAAACGGTCCTTATATGAAATGGTCCTTAGTACATGAATTTAAAAAAAAAAAATTATTAAAGACTTTCACCGCTAATAATATATGAGAAGAAAATATTATTATTTTTATTATTATTTATAAATAATATTTAATTTTATTAAATTATTGTAAATCATATTTACATTATTAAACTAACATGAAAATTTTTATAGATATTGTTTTAATAAACAAGAAATTTACAAGAACCAAAATCATATTTTATCCATTCCAATATATACATTTTGATATTTTATTAAAGCTAAAATAATTTTAAAATTTGATTAAATTAATTTAATGAAATACTTCTTATTTTTATGAATATATACCTTTTCATTTGAACAATATAACTACTTTTAAATAATAATAATAATAATAATAACTTTAAAAATTATCTACCAATTTCTAGGTGATTTTAAGCTAAAAAAAACAAAACAAAAAAAACTAAAAACTACCAATTTACTTTTTCTTTTTTTTTTAGTTATTGTTTTGAACTTTAACTTATAAATAGATTAGGGAGAAGTTGGGTGAAGCATATTCATAGCCTCGTTTTGTGGATGAGACTAAACAAAACCTTTTAACGGCACATTTTGTTGCTAATGTTGGAAACCCATCTTTATTCATGCCACCTTTTGAGGGGTTACCATTGGTATTTTAGCATGTCTCTTCTATATAAGCAATGAACAACCAAACATTATACACACTACCAACCAAACAATAATCTTGATTTTTAGTTGGTACAGGCTTGCCAAGGTCTTACTGATTCTTGGGTTTTAACTAAGAAATCTCTAAGACCTTGCATAACTTGTCACAAAAAAAAAAAAAATATAGAAAGGCAAAGAAAAAAACACAAGTTATGATGAGAGGAATAATGGTTGGAAGTGTAACCAAAGTTGCCTTCATCGTCTTGGTAACTCTGGCTATTAACATTCCATGTCTTGAGGCTGGCATTGGTGACTTTGATAACTTTCTTAAAGCTCAGTCTGAAGAAGCTCATAAAATTGCTCTTGAATCTTATGTTCCAACACCCGAATTGGTCACCAATGAACTCAATTATCATGTTCATTTGTAAGTATCTATCAACTCTTTTAACTTTTTTTTTTCTCTCTTCACTGCAATATATGTATATGTATTCTACTCAATAAAATCATTCATAAAGTTTATCCAAATTTAATAAACTTGGTTCTTGAATGAACCAGTGTTACGAGATGCAGTTCTATTTTATATAAATCATCATATTTATCATTTTTTGTTTTTTGTCCAATGTTAAAATGTTGTTTTTATTAAAGAATTAATTGTTTCTTCTAAAAAACAACTGTATTTAATAGACTTGCATTTTAATAACAAATAATTAATTATTTCATTTTCAAAATATGCTAATCTAAGAAATATTTGGATTACAATTGAGAATCAAATCATTTATACGTGCACACTCCCTTCTATAAATTAACAATTTTAAAAGCTAAAATAATAAATGATTTTAAAATTTAACCTACATTTTACCATCTATAAAATTACAAATTACAATTTGTTACATATATAAATTTATTGATTTTAATAATAATTATCTTATGAGGCCTATGATATGACTAACTGACTTTATATGCATGAAAATAATAAAACTCATTATTTACATTAAATAATGATATACAAACATTAAATTAATAAAACTTATTTGAAAGGCACTTAATAACATATGACTTATAGTATATTATGTTATTGTTTAATATTTGATAAGAGGAAAATTTAGTAAAAAAATATGTTTAAATAGATGTTAAATAGACTTTTTGTAAAAGAGGTTTATTTTATTTTTCTTTTTATATTATATTTCTAAAAGAATTTGATTGAATATGATAGGTCATTGAAAAACATCTCAAGGAGGCAATTAGGTCAAAAGAGTAACGCAGGAGTTTGTGAGAGCACCAACCCCATTGATAATTGTTGGAGGTGTAACAAAGACTGGGCCAATGATAGGTACCAATTGGCAAAATGTGGAAAAGGTTTTGGAAGACGCGCTATCGGAGGACTTGGTGGACCCATTTATGTTGTCACTGATAATTCCGATGAGAACATGACAGACCCTAAGGAAGGAACTCTCCGCTATGCAGTGACTCAACAAGGTCCCTTGTGGATCACCTTTGCACATAGCATGATTATCACTCTACAACAAGAGCTGTTGATTTCCTCCGACAAGACCATTGATGGTCGTGGTGCCAACGTGCAAATCCGGGATGGTGCTGGCTTAACTATTCAATACGTCAACAATGTTATTATCCATGGGATTCGCATCAAGAACATCGTGCCGAAGGAGGGCGGCATGATTAGGGACGCCTACAACCATGTTGGATTCAGAACTAGGAGTGATGGTGATGCCATCTCTGTTTTCGGAGCCTCCAATATTTGGATTGATCATATTTCCCTCTCTTACAGTGCTGATGGTCTTATTGATGTCATCCAAGGCTCCACTGCCATCACTATCTCAAATTGCCACATGACCAGACATAACGATGTAAGTACACTTACATTATTACATTACAACATTACTAGACATTAATTTGATCCTTCAAAGAATTTATTACACATGTTTTTACATTTACTATTGATTATCTCTAAACTATCTTTAATTTCAAGTACAAAAGGTGAGACTTGTGGTGGGATAAAGCAACGTAACACTAGGATATGCATGCATGGATTATTTTTTGAGTTAAAGCATGTGATTGTTGCAGGTGATGTTGTTTGGAGCTAGTGACACCTACAATGGAGACAAGATCATGCAGATAACACTGGTATTCAATCACTTTGGGCAAGGACTAATCCAGAGGATGCCAAGGTGTCGTTGGGGATTCTTTCACGTTTTGAACAATGACTACACTCACTGGATGATGTATGCAATAGGTGGAAGCGCAGGGCCAACAATTTTAAGTCAGGGAAACCGTTTCATTGCCCCAAACAATGATGTTGCAAAGGAGATCACACACAGGATCAATGCTGGAGAAGAAGTGTGGAAGAATTGGCAGTGGCAATCAGATATGGACCTTTTGATGAATAATGCAACGTTCCAGACTTCAGGGGCACCAATCCAGATTACACATAAAAAGGGTCTCATAATGAAGCCAAGAGATGGCGCTCATGCTAGCAGGCTAACTCGGCATTCTGGTGCCCTGAATTGCTTTGTTGGCCAACCTTGCTAGAGAATATACAGAAGATGTATCATTATCCTCTACTTGACTGAGTGTTATGCATTAGTTTGAGGATATAAACTTGAGTCTTTTGCAACACACATTACTGTTTGGCTTGTGAGAGTGAGAAAGGGAAAACATATTCTACTTGAGGATTAAATTGCAGGAAATAAAGTTCCAAATTATATGTAACTTTTTTTGGATTCAACTTGATTGTAACTTTTATTCTATTATTTATTTATTGATGCCTTTTATTATTGCATATTATATGTAACTTTTTTTTTTGGATTCAACTTAATTGTAACTTTTCTCCCATTCTTTGATTATTGATGCCCTTTTCGTGGACATATCTTGAATCTGTTTGAAAAATCATATTTGTGTCATAAAAGTTATGAATATTAATAACATGTTAAAATTATCTGTAAAAATTCCATATTTATGTCATATAAATTATAACTATGGAAAATTGCATTCTATAAAGGTATATCTTGTTGGAATTTTAATACTATATATTTGAAGATTAAGATATAATAAAAATAATTTTTTAATTTAAATAATTGAGATAATCTTATTTTATTTATCATATTTAAAAAATAAATTTTCTTGTAATGTCATGTATTGGTATTTAATATCAGAATTGAAAAACAAATTACAAATATAATCTCAATTAATTATGTAAAGACTATATTAGGATGATATCATTAAATAAGATAAAAATAGTTATCAAAATTATATTTAATTTTCAACAAATATTTTTTTTATAATTGTGTCCATAAAGAAAATTTTATCAAAATGTGAAATTAAGTACAATGTGGATATTGTAATAAACTATGAATTAATTGCATTGTTGTTGTTTTGTTTATTATTAGATATATGAGACTATTAGAGATATCTCTAAGAAATTTTATTTTTAATGAGAAATTGACTTTGACATAGTTAAAGTAGTCTTTTCACTAGTACAAAATAAGCTTTTAACATCGGTTCTAGAACCGATGTAGAAAGTCTAATATTTTTATTTATTCATAACCCCTCTCCAATTACCCTATCTATTGATAGGTAGGTCTCTCCTCCCTTTTATAATATATTTTTTATTTATTATATTATTTATATTTTTTAAGAATTTGAATTATTATCAGATTAAGAGTATTGTCATTGGCAAGATTCGAACCTAGTACCTTAGAATCGAAGGTCGATATTCCAACTACTAAGCTACTAGGATTTTCTCGATAATAACTTATACATAAATTATATTTATATACAAATAAAAATGTATATCCATGTAAATATATAAATATAAAATATATAAATACAAATACAAATATATTTATATATTTATATGTTGGATGTGAGGCGCGCTCGAGGATGAAAGTGTGTGTCGAGTGAATTTTCAAAATTTGATGTCAAATTTGTGAGTGAGTCTCTTTATATGGATTATAACTTAATGACAAAATATAATCTTTATAATTTATTTATATAATGATATAAAATAATTTTTTTCTTTATTTTATATCATTATATAAATTAATTATAAAGATTATATTCTATATTATTATAAATAAATTATAAAGATTTTATTCTATTATTAAATTACAAATTCATATAAAGAGACTCGCTCACAAATTTAACATCAAATTTTGAAAACCCACTTGTCACACACTTTCACTCTCGAGCGCGCTCTCACATCCAACATATAAATATATAAATATATTTGTATTTGTATTTGTATTTATATATTTTATATTTATATATTTACATGGATATACATTTTTATTTGTATATAAATATAATTTATGTATAAGTTATTATTAGAAAATCCTAGTAGCTTAGTGGTTGGAGTATCGACCTTTGACTCTAAGGTACTGGGTTCGAATCTTGCTAGTGACAATTTTTTTAATTTTATAAAAAGACTTTCTACATCGGTTCATCAGGGAACCGATGTAGAAAGTGTTTTCTAGGTCGGTTCCTCGATGAACTGATGTTGAAAGTCTTGAATTCACTTTCTACATTGTTTCTTTAAGAACCGATGTGGAAAGGCCGATGTTAAAAGTGATTTTTGTACTAGTGTTTAAATGAAAAGAACGAAAGAAAATAATAAGACTAGTCCATCAAATAAAGTTTTAGTTTTCAAGTCAAAGAAGAATAAATCAATATAAAAATTCACGAAAGAAAATAATAAAACTAATCCATGGAATGAAGTTTTAGTTTTCAAGTCAAGGAAGAAGAATAAAATCAATATAGAAATTATCGTATATTTGATTATTGTAGCAAATTAAAAGGGAAGTAAAGACATCCCATGCTTTCATTACAATAGATTAAGGTTGATTTTGGGTCCTCAAAGAAAGATTAAGGGATAGAAATAATAATAATAATAATAATAATAATAATAATAATAATAATAATAAAAAGAGGATAAAGATAAAATCGCTATTGTAGTTTTATCTTATAGTAAAATTATCATTTTTTTATGATGATGACTGTGTTAATCTCACCTACCAAAAATATGAAAAAGTTGTTGATTCTATTACTTCGTTTCATGTCACACAGTATCATGAGTATTTTGCATCCTATAATGTTAGAGATTTTGGGCATATGTAAGATGGGAAATCAAAGATTGATCAAGGTTAACTACAAGAAAATAATTAATTACTGACGGATAGTTACTAATAGATATGTAGTCGTCGAAAAATGAGTAATTGTCGAGAGACATTACCGACAAATTTAGAGTATTTGTGAAATTTAGTTTTACCGACATATATATCTGTCGGTAAATTAAAAATTAGTTACCAACGGATATATAATCGTCGAAAAATAAGTGTTTACGAGAGGGATATTATCGATGATTTAAAATATATTTTTAAAATCAATATTAAATTAAAAAAATTTAAATATTAAAAATTATATAATAATTACTTAATTTTAAATATATTATAATAAATTAATTATTCACGTAATTAAAAAATTAAATAATTTTTATTTAATAATTTAATTTAATCATAATTAGATTAATTTATAATAATTTTTTAAATTAAATAGTTTTAAAAAATAATTTAAAAAAATGAATATTTAATTATTTTTAATATTGAAAAAATTATTTTAATATAAAAATATTAATTAAATAATAATGATAAAAAAGATAAAAAGAATAAATTAAAATAAAAAAAATAAATAAAGAAAAAAATTTATTTTATATTATTATATAAATAAATTATAAGGATTAGATTTAAATAATTTTTTAAAATATATTATTTAATATATTGAATAAAGAAAATGCCTCGACCAGACAACCATACCATCGTTTCAACCAATTTTTCAATTCTCCAAGCAGACGTTGGAAGTCTTCCCTGGTGGCACCCACTTCAGCGGTCGTGGCCTTACGTAGGTAGATACAGACATAACCAGGTAAAAATCTCCACCTAGTGTTGCATGATTTCCCTTTGCTCTTCTCTTTCTCGTGAAGGTTAGAGTTTCTTTCCTCCTTCAATTTCTTGCTTCGTTTTGTCTTTGACTTGTTATTTCTCCCCTTCGAGTGTCCAAGCTTTGTGTATCCTCTGATTTTAGTTATTCTCTGAAGTAATTGCTCAAGTTCACTACAATTGGTTCTTCTAGATTTTATTAATTCCTTGTAGTTTTAGAGATGTAGGAGTTGTGGCTTTAAAATTATTTGTACAGTAATGCATTTCAGTTTTGTTATTCATTGACCCCGTCATACAAGGAGGGGCTGTGGAAATAGAGTTGAAAGCAATGAGGGGGAGATTAATGGTAATGTGAAATATGTCCCTATATTCCCAAGAGATGATTTTGATGATGATTCAAGTCAACAACATTCAAGAATCAAGCAAGCCCAAGATATGATTTTGATAAAGATTTAATTCAACATTCAAGCAAGCCTAAGATGATTCCTCAAGACTAGATAGAGTTTTAGAATACTGGATATGGATGTACAAGTTAATGAAGTAATATTATGCATAAGCCTCCAAAGCACACGTGTGATAAAATTTCGTATTATGACATTTTTCACTGTCATAATTAATTATGATGCATCAGAATTGAGAAATTGAATTTTACCCCGACATAATCAATTATGCTGAGGAGATAATCAATTATGGCAGTTCGAAATTCAAAAATATATCTATTTTGAAGAATAAATATTTTTGAATATATCCTGATTTTTATCCACGAAATTAATTTTGATGGAAAATAAAAAACATACAATTATAGAATTCGAAAGTACAATTTATATTCAATAAGTTTTGAGAAAAAAATTCTGAGCAAGACAACAAAGATATTTTACATGTTTTGAGAAAACCTTCTTCTTCATTGCCACAAAGATATTTTACCAAAATCCTCTTCTCTATTGCCTATTGTGTTTTCATTGTTAATCACACTTGTTCTTGGAGGTTGACATTCTACATACTTCTACAATTTGTTGTCTCCATTACCTAGGTGTGACTGTTTTTATTTTATTACCTTCATCCTTTATGGGCTTAAGTGATTGATTATTAAATTTCTTGTTTAGGGTTTAAGTAGTTACTATCATTTTGTTGTATTTTTTTAGGATTTCTTGTGTGCAAACTGTTCATCCCTTTGATTTGTTCGGGGAAGTATTTTCATCCTTTGATTTGTTCAAAGGAGGTGTTCATCCCTAGTCAGATTCTAGGGAGGTGTTCATCTTTAGTGTGATTCTAAGGAGGTGTGTTCATCTTTTGATTTATTCAGAGGAGGTGTTCATCCTTAGTGGGATTCTAGTAGGATGACAAAATGGGTCAGACCCGGCGGGCGGGGCGGGTTGGTGTTTTTAGCCCACCAGCCCGCTTTGGCCCACCCCGCCAAGCCTGCCAACCCGCGGGACGGGCGGACCAACTCGCGATCCGCCTAATTAATAAAAAAATAATTTTTTATTGTAATAAAATTAATTATAAAGATAATATATAAAGTTAAAAATTTTAAAAAGAGAATTAAAAAAGTTTCACTCTCACGACAAATATTCTCCTTACTTGAAACACAACATTCTC